AACATGTTCATTTCAGAAACATTGTAATTCTTGTTTTCTTGCTTTGGTCGGAAACCAATTGAAAAGGTCAATGATGCAATCAAAATAAAACAAACAAGAGAAACTAAATTCCGAATTCATGGAATGTTTTTTTTAAATCTCAATTTTGTACAATAAGTTCTATATACATTTTGATTTACATTTAACTCCAAAATATTTCATTTTAACCAGTATTTCTCTTGTTTGTTAGTAAAGAGTGTAATAACAGTACAAGAAACTAATTAATATAATAACTGTGGCGAACACATGACACTGGGTGTCCAGAGGCACTCAACACTGGTAAACATCATTTTCTTTTAAAGCTTTGTACCACAGACCTTCTTAATTGTAAACTCAATCCCAGCCACTTACTAGGTTAAAACATGACTAAGTGCTCTTCTTAATGAAGATTGTACGTACAAATGAGGTAAATAACAATATACACAACCCGATTTTTTTTTATAGTAAAGATTTTCTTTTTACGGGAAACAGCATAAATAAATACGCGATTAAAATTAGCTTACAGATTTTATTACTTTTTATTAGCAGCCTGTACTTATCAAGAGTGTTGATCAAATCACTTATCACTTGTGCCAAATGTTTCAGAATCCAGACAGGACTGCATTAAACTTACAATAAATGTACTCAGGTTGTCATGGCAACACACGTATATAATAACAATAAAATTATCTCAAATAACGATAGAGTAATATATACTTACTCTATACAAGTAAACAATAAGTAGACATAGTAACTCCTATCAGAGTACCCTTTTTTTAAAGATATCATTTTTCTTGTTAAGGTAGTAGGCTACTCGCATGTTGTTGTTGTTTTTTTTACATGTTTGCATATTTCAGCACATATATCAGTGTTATTAATTGGTGCCAAAATCTGCTTATACCATTATTTCATCTGGTGTGTGTTGAGAATAACCGTTAGAAATCGGTAATCCATTACAATATTAGTAGAAAACTACCTTAACATCCTGATAGGCACTCACAGCACTGAAAGAGCTTATAATTCGGCAAACTGTGAACCACACACATAATGCACCATCAACATTGAAATATTGCTCAAGTTACACTATAAGTATGATATATATATATATGTATATATACATAGATTTGTCATAGATAAAATGGATGGATTAATGATAGGTAGAATGTGATATTCTGATTGCAGTTATACATTGCTGGTTGACATGTTTCCCGGGTCCTATTAGGAAAAAAAAAAAAAATATAGAAAAAAAAGTCACTT